AATTCTTTCTGGCAAAAAACTTTTCAAATTCTTAGAGGATGCACTATTATTCAGAAAAATATTACCATTTAGAGGGAAAAACACTTGAAACAAAACAAACCTGTTTAAGACATCAAAAAATAAAAATACTAACACAGCAAAAATAGTTATATTCTGTTTTTATAAATTATTTTTAAATCCCTCATCTAAAATTTTTAATAAATTTAGTTCATTTTTTATGTATGTGGAGCTGATTTTTTTTTTCCTTTTTATATGTTCCCCAAAGAAGTAGATAAAGAAGGCACTAACATATTTGAATTTCAGTGGTCCTCCCAAATTTTCTAACCTCAATAATGAGAATCACTTAACATTCATGTACTTATCTCTTCAGGAGACTGCCACAGGGTATAGAACAGAATAGACAACAAATATATATTGATTTTAATTGGAAAGTTTTTAATTGGGTCAATCTGAATGCAGAGTAACTGATCCACGATGACCAGAAAATTGGTGGAATTCTAGATATGGCATATTGGTCAAATTTGTAAATATTTGAAAATAATTTTGGCTCTCAATGAAGAAGAGATTGTTATTAATTATTTTCTGGGCTAACTAAACTCCAAAAGCAACCAGAGTGGTTGTGAAGATATGCAAAATAATTCTCCCTCCATCGAAAGTCTTGGAACTCCTGTGTGTGTGGTTTTGCTTTTATCTTTTTAACCATGTTTTTTTGAAAGACACTTTCTATTTTATTAAAAGGAACCATCATTTGTAATTATGGAAATTCTGTCTTCTCTCATTCTCCTAAAATCCAACTCACATATTTTTTGCATACTCTATTGAACAATTATAATTATAAATTAAAATAGGGTATTAAAATGAAATGCTTTATCTTTGAAGGAGGCATATGGGGTACCTGGATGATGTGCTAAACTTTTGCATGAACATAAACATTTAAATCTATGCTGTGCTTTGGCTGGTCACTGCTGAGAGTTTACATAGTGAGTAAACTTGGGATAAGTAGGATCTTACTGTATATAATCTAATCTGCTGGGAATTCAAGTCTTGGTCACTATAAATGAAACCATTATGCTTCCAAACTTGCCTGTATTATTAAAAGCCCCAAATGATCTTTTCTAACAATATTGTAATTTTATGTTTTGTTAGGAATTTTCATCCAATATTGACTGAAAAGATCAATAGGCTATCTCGGCATGTTATGCTGTTCATTTATTTACTGTTGCCACTGATGCAATACAATTGAATTACAGTATTTCATCAGCGCATACTATCCTGGACTTAATTTACTTACATTGTCATTCCTAACAATATCTAGTAGGTCTTGTGAAATTTACAAAGACAGTTCCCTAACAAGCAAGAGGTGGGAGTCGATGGACAAAGGAGGAAGAAAACAGGGTTGTGAAGTATGTGGCAGAAACACGTGGCCTTGATCCAATGGGTCATCCATTCCCAGTGGAAACATTATTTTGTCAAAATTTATATTAGATTATAATTCAAATAATGTAGGATATATTTGAAGCACTTCTCAAAATAGAAGTGATATTACCACTTTGGGTATTACAACTGAAGCTCCATGTCCCCTTAGTGTGTTGTAATTTTTTGGAATGGGATAGCAGAACAGCACAATATTTATGTGTTGGTATAGATTTACTCATTAATTGATTTATGCTTTAGACCACCAACTTAACAAATATTCATCTAATACCTTCCATGCACCTTACAATATGTTTAGTGCTAAGGTTAAACTCAATCTTGTGGCTAGAAAAGTGGACATTATCTGCTGCAATCCAGTAACAGTAGAAAGTGAGTTTAATAAAAGAAAAATAATATTTGCCAAAGATGGTCATCATTGCAACAAGTTTGTAAGATTTTAAGAAAGGAATGGAATATCCCAGAAGAAAATGTGGGGTGTGGGGGCATTATATTTCAGGAAGAGGAAACTGAATGTACAAATACCATGTGTGTATGAGAGAGAGAGAGAGAGAGAGAGAGACAGAGGGATCTCCACATGTGGGGTCTTGTTAGAACCTGGTATATAGTAGATACTTAATGAAATAGTGTTTTGATTGTGTGATACAGGGCATGAAAAACAACAAAAGAACCCAGCAGTCTTGCTGATGGGCACTTTGGTCTATTTGATTGCTTTTCATGTTAAAAGGGTGATTAAAATTATTCTTTTCTAATTCATATTAACATAATGATAAAGTCAACAAGACTTGGAAAAGCATTATTTAATTCAAGTTAACTGTCTATAAAAATATCTATAGAATTATATTCATATCCGTTCTCCCTCTCCTCTCTTCTCCTGCTCTTTTAATCTTATGTGGATAAAATCAAAATCTTTGACATTGTCTTGGCATATATAAAAAGAGTCATGATGTGTTTGTAAAACCCTAAAACAACCTGCCATCTTTTACTGAACGTGATTAGGATAAATCAAAGACTATAATTTTGTGAGATAAATTAACATAATTGATGTCTGTTATGGTTTGGATGGGGGATGTCCCCCAAAAGCTAATGTGTGAGACAGTACAAGGTGGTTCAGAGGATAAATGATTGGATCATGAGAGTCCTAACCCAATCAGTGAATTTATCTTTGATGGGATTAATTAAGTGGTGACTAGAGGCAGGTGGGGTGTGGCTGGAGGATGAGGTTAATTTGGGGCATGGTCATGGGGTATATATTTTGTATCTGTAGCTGGAGTCTCTCTCTCTCTGCTGCTTGACCACCATGATGTGAGCTGATTCCCTCTGCCACACACTCTGCCATGATGTTCAGCCTCACCTCAAGCCCCAAGGAATAGAGCTGGCCTTCTCTGGGATAAGATCTCTGAAACCACGGGCCCTCAAATAAACTTCTCCTCCCCTATAGTTGTGCTGGTCAGATCCTTTAGTCACAGCAGTGAAAAAGCTGACTCAAACAACATCTAAACGAATTTCAAAAATATTTCTTCTCTTGCCATTTATTGAAGAACTTAAATTCCATTTCAGTGTCCCAGTCCCAAATTCCCAAATATTACTGTGACTCTACTCTGATCTTACCTGTGTTCTTTCTTACCACCCACTCAGGCTTTGGCCAGAGTTAGCATTGTTTCTTTCTTTTTGCTTCCTGTAAATGTTCTGCATGCCTCCCCACCATCCTAAGGGACCCTAAGCCTGTGCATACTCACAGTTATACCCAAATCCACTTTTATCTCTAGTTCTTTCTCCATACAGCATTGGTACCAGAGTTTATTATTTGGATCATTCTCCTGCCAGTTACCTCAATACATTTGTCCTCTCACCTTTCCATCACACCAACTCTGTAAATCTGTAGCTCTGGTTAATGTAATCTTTCCCCATTCTTTTTCAGTTCCTTAGAACTGCTGGAGAAAAATACACATCGATGATGATGGATGCCCCTGTAAATTCAATATCTGTAACCTTAGCTAGAAACCTCCAGTTTCTGATTTTTAAAAATGCCTTTAAGTGATTTCCTTTCTCTTATTTCCTTCTTCCTTTTGAAAAGAGTGATAGATTTTATGTAGTCATCTGTGTTAATTGATAAAACTTTTGCAGTTAAATATTAATTCTTTCCTTTGGACTTTTTATATGTATATCAGAAAAAAAAGTCTTGGCATTCTGTGCTACATTGCTATGCTGGGCATTACCCAAAGGTGTCTGTGGGACTCAGCTCATAGTCTGTTGCATGTCAATACTCTTAACCAGGTTTCCCATGGGAAAAGTCTTGCTCCAGGGATTGGATCATGGGATGTGGTTCCTTTGTCTCTTTTTGTAATAGCTCTTAGGTATTAGAGTTCTTCCCTGATCAATAAGGAAAACATGCCTGCCACTTAAATCTTCCCTTGTTTTCGAAAAAAAATTCAGTTGAGGAATAGAAACAAACATTAGGACATCTTTTTTTGAACATCTAAAAAATAAATTATCAACCTTCATTTTCTTGGCTGATGAAACATCCAACCCTGTTAGTTGAACTTTGGGATGTATTTCAAAGTTTAGGAGAATCTGAAAAATTCCAAACTTAACTGATGTGGCTTTTTGCCAAGGCTTCAAAATCATCACACTTGAATTAAACATGAGCTTTTCTGGTAGAGCACTCTGGGGAATGGCTGAAGTTTCAAGAGAGCTCAACATACGTCATTGGTAGAGAGAGGGAAGAGTCACCCCAGAAATTTTAATGTGTTGCCACCTTCAAACAACACTCTAGTAAATTGATTTCCCTATTTCTTTTTCAAGCCATGTCTCACTGATAATCACCTGCAGTGACCCAGATGTGGGAAGCAATTTCAAGAAAACCTACCTTGGTCCCTGCTTTTCCAGTGCCATTTCCTTCCATCTTGCTTAGTTCTATTCATCTGTGTGCTCAACAAGCTCTTTGTTCCCTGCACTTATATTTACATTTTATCTTTCAGAAAATTTATTCAAATTTAATGCATTTTTATTTTTGAAATCCTTTCACTGATCACTATTATACTTCTCCACAAACAAGTAAACAAATGAATAGTATCTCAATTTACTTTAGAAAGAGATGATGTTATGTAACCTTAGGTTTCTAGTTTTAAAAAGATGTGTCTGCCAATAAAAAATTTTAAAAACGCAAAAAATCTAGCTGAATTGTTTTATTATTACAATTAGGTACAAATTGGTCAAAATGATATAAATATTATTATATTTTGATGTTACTATTTCACTATAAAAAGCAAAACATTCTTAGAACTAATCTCTTAATGGCATCAAAAACTCTTAAAAAATTTCAAAAGACTCTTAATTATAACTTTTCCAGTTCATTTATCTAATTATGATTATTAATTATTTCTATAATGTTTCAGAATTCACCTGTCAGTGTCTTTCAGTTTTAGTTTTCATTGGCTAAGTACAATAAACCTTGTTCACATAAATACATGGCTGGAGATGGAAAAACTTGTTATATAAATATATTTCAGTTCTTTGACTCCCTTCTTAATTATAAACCAAAAAGGAAAAGGATAAAAAACACATAGTTATCAAGCAGTCAAATTTATTTTGAAGAATCCATACTTCAATAACTTAATTTTATTGAAAGCAAAATATTAGAAACCTGATTTGTAAAAGGATTTGTTAGACATCAGAGTTATTCCCTATCTCAGCTGCAAATCATCACTTGGAATCATTCCACTCTTCGGTGCCTTGGTGGTAGGTTCTGATACTTCACCTTATTAAGATGATATGCCTTAGTTGGTCTTTTTGTTTTGAAGATACGATTGGCCATGTGAGAAGACAAGAAGAAAAGGAAACCTGAGATGAAGATCAGTTTGGGGACAGATTGCATATGAATGACTGAGGATGCATAAATCAATATTTTAATCACTCCCAAGTTTGCATATCCTTAGTTAAACACCATCTTTGAGACATAGAGAAACCTTAGCAGCAAGTCTGTTGTATATATTCTATTCTAGTCTCACTCCATAATTCACTTCATTATCCTGCATTGTAACATCCTCAAGTTTTTGTCTTCATGTGTAGCACATGGGACAGGTTTAATCATTATTTGTAGAATGAATGCAATGAAAGAGTGAAAAAAGAAAAGACCAAGACAGTAACCTAATTGGGGTTATTTTATCCATTGTACCTCACTTAAATAAAAAGTCTCTTCTGGATAAAAGGACATACACAAATTATCTAACATCATTATAACAGTTTACTACTTCACTTGCTGAGAGCATCAAATAAGATTAAAACCCATTAAGTCCCAAGTTTCAATTCTGTGAACATAATAAATATTTAAATATTATTTAAAGTTGCAATAAATGGTTATAGTTGCTGCTCATCTTAAGTTTTTAATGTGTGTTCTGTACCTGAGATGGTGGGACAAAATGATCTAAAAAGAGGGTGAAGAAATCCTACATAGGGAAATAAGGGTGAGGGACAAATATGGCCAAATATATCATTGAAAATTAAACTCTTTCTGCAGTTAAGTGAAATGGCTGAGGAATTTCTAGCTATCCTTGGATAATGGAGTTAGATATACAGTGGAAACTTTGAATTCATTATTTTTAAAAATGTGGCAGAAAGATAGAAGTCTCAATTAAAAGGTAGAAATGATACTTATGCCCAAATTGCACACAGCTTCATATCTAAAATTGCAAATTCATTGCAATGAAATCTATCTTTTTCCCTGCCTGAGATCATTCTTTTCAAGGTGAGCTCATTCTCTTACAGCTCCAAGGCTGATCTCTTTGGCTGATAAGGTCCTGGTTGGCTTTCCATTGCAGTAGAATCAAGTAGAGGACCTTGTAAAATGAATGTTCCTCTGCTGCTCTGAAGATAAGCGCTTGGCTGACCCCACAAGAGCAATGCTGACTGTGAAGTTCACCTTCCTTCCATGTCCCAATGTTGAAAGAAGACTGAAATGGTGAATAATTCATCTCACAGAGATAAGAAATGTGGCCTTGTTGGGAAGGGCTCCGTGATGCTATCACTATTCTCTGCATAGAAAGCTATCAAGGGCTTTTACTTTAAGTCTATTCCACTTAGGAAGCAAACAAAAGAAACTAACAGAAGACAAAGTGCAAAGGTTAGATTGGAGTAACTAGGATCATTTTTTTAAAGACTGATATTATTTCATTTGGGATATTGATTACAATCCAAATGCAAGGTTCTTGGTGTGGAATTTCTTTATATCCATCATTTTGAAAGCTTGCTAAAGTATTTTGATTTATTGTAGACCAGGGAAAGTTACCATCAATAATGCCTTTTCATCAAAGCACACTGGCCTCCTTTGTACCTGAAATTTTGTGGTCTTAGTCCCCCAAATTTCTTCAGTGTCCCTTCTTGTCATTCAAGGGTGTATTTTCCTTCTATCTATTATAAAAGAAAGAGAGAGAAAGGGAAAATTTTTAAAAATCAGAAATTTATTATTATAAATTGAAACTATTTTAAAATATTAACCTTGAGCACTTGGCTTTTATCAATCAACGTCTCCAGAGAACATATTTGGAACAGAAAAATGAGGGAAGACAGATAAAAACAGAGAAGTAACTTTGTTATCAGGATGAATCTACACTAGTTGGGGTTCTGATAAAAAAAGGTTACCTTTTCCAAGAACATTAATATTTAATAGAAGTCAAAGTAGTAAGTTAAACGAAGGAAATTTTTCAGATATTTAAACGTTTGCATCTAAATAGGAGCACTATTTATGTTTCAGAAGTATTTTATGGTACACCTAAAAATAACTAATCCTTTTTACCACTAATTTGTAAGGCTGGCCTTCTTTTCATCATTAATTCACTCATCCATCCATCTATTCACTCATCCTTCCATTAATCCATCCTCCATCCATCCATCTATCCATCTCCCATCCATCCCTCTTTTCATTTATTCAAGCAACAGACGTTTCTTCTGGTCCAGTATGTGCAAAGTGCCATGCAGATACCAAGGGAACAGCTATAATAAGACCGGCTCCCTGCCCAAAGACTAGAGAGATAAGCAAACAGTTGAAATTAAAAAATATTGTGCTGTAATACAAATATAACATAGTAGCACTGTGACATCTGGGATGGTCTGGACAGTCTGAATATGCCAGAGCAAGTTTTATTAAAGATGCTACCTTGTGTATTGGTGATAAATTGAAGGTGGGAACTTAGGACAATAAGGAGAAATGTATAATAGGAAGTGCACATATTTCATCTTTCCTAGGATGGGCTAGTCAGGAATCATTTATTTATATGGATTATATATGTTGTACAAAGAGTTGAAAGTTATATTCTAGGGTATGGTAAGCCATGATAATAATGGACTGAACTCCCCCTAATTCTTGCAGGCCACTCTTGTTACTCCATCCACAGGTCCTTCTATCCCATATGCAGAGTCCAGTGGCCTTCCTTTAAGCATCCCTGTGTGCTCTTGAGCTTATGTCAATATGTAACTGACAATCCTTATGTATTGGGTGTGTGCAAGTTCATTCATTCTCCCTTTGGATATGCTCACCATTAGAAGAAGATGGGGCACATGGTGGTATGAGAGAATGTTTCCCTGAGTGATGAGAGAATGCTACAGACCTAAAAACAATACTGTGCAGGAAATCAAGGGGAAGAAAGCACAGGGAAAGACAAAATGAGAAAGGGAATTTAAGCCTGGATATTTCACAATTTTGAAGAACCTAATTTGTTCTAATAACTTTTTCTTCCTTTGTATCTCTCCTGAATCTGGATCCTTCTCTTAAATTTTTAAGCAAATTTTAGAAAGAGAAACATTGGCCCAGATTAATGGAGAATCCCTTAGGCTGAGGCACTCTGAATTCCCTTATAAATACCCTTAGTCTACATCTTTGCTTTTATCTACAGGTATTTGTTTTTACCTCCACAAACTAATCTTTAAATAGTTTTATCTTATGTTTTCCATGCTTAAGGGTCCCTCAGGCACATGATGGCTCAGGAATGGTCTTGGTCCCAGTGCTGTGGGACCTACCGTGCTACCCTTGCTGCCACAGGCCTACTAAAAATGAAGCTTCTGCTCACCTGCCAACTCTTCAGTTGTCATCAGATTCTTGGAGCCACCATCCTTGTAAAAATGTTATGATTGTGCTATTTTTCCTTAATGTATATCGGGGTATTACCCACACAAATTGAACAATGATATACCTAAAAATAACTAATTATTATAGCTCACTATAATGTTGTTTCACTTTCCTTTTTAAGTATGCAGCTCAATGGATTTATGAGAATCTATTCACCTGTGTAACTGTGTAACCAGGACTGATATCAAAATATTGAAGATTTCCAGTACACTAGAAATTTGCTTCAAAACTTCTTGAAAGTTATTTCATTCCTCATCTCCATTGTATTAGATTGTTGTCCTTGTTTCTGATTTTTATGTAAGTGATATTTCATGTATGTATTTGTTCATGTTCAGTTTATTTTCATTGGCATTATCTGGGAGATTCAACTTTGTAGTTGTATGTATCAATTTTTAGTAAATTTTAATTGCTGAGTACTTTATAAAGATAAGAAATTGATTTAGCTCATGGTTCTGGCGGTTCAAGATCATGGTGAGAGCATTGGCTTCTAATGAAAGCCACATGGTGGGAGAGCATTTGTCAATTTCTCCTTTAGTTCTGGAAATTTTCTGCTTTCAATATTTTGAGTAGAGTTGTGTTTCTACTTAGAATGTAGAAACCTTCAAAGAAAATCATTTCCATCCTAATAATGAGTAATAATCAACTATACTATAAAATTATAAATTTTCTTTAGCCAATCAGAGTACTGAAGTGCTAAGGTAGCCTAGTAAACAAAAATGCTAAGCACAGTCTCTTCAAGGAGAGTTGGAACATGAGATCTGCCTCATGTTGGTAGACTATAGAGGTGGTGTCTCTCCCAGGCTGCCAAAAAGTAGGTAAGAATCACCTAAATATTTAAAAGATCTCCCACCAGACAAGTGTGGCTTAGCAAGTTAGTGTCTAATTGCTGTGGAAATCCATACTTGCTGGAAGATCTTTCCCAAGGGCCTCTATCAGGTGCTCAAGAGCAAGCTTGAGGCTGATCCTGTGATAGAGCCAGCCCAGTGATGTGATGATACAGGAGCTGTTGGAAGGTCCACAGCTGTTGGAAGGTCCACTGGTGGGACAGGCATGAAATTCCTGTGGGCTTCCCCATCCTTTCTTCCTATGAAGCTAAAGGTTTAGGCCTGTGGGTGAGGGACAGAAAAGCCACTCTCCCAGGAGTTACAGACAAGGAGCATTACCTCTTGTGGACAAATAAGAGAAAGCTCTCCAGCTAAGAGGCAAAGACTAGAATCTTCTTTGGACGAGGTCCACTCTGGTGATAGTTGTGCTTCTCTTGGGAAAGGGGTGAGGTGCAGGGTAGGGAGCAACATGAAAGACTCAAGAAGGTTCAAGGTAGTCTGAATGCCACAGAGAGGTGGGGCAGGCATTCAAGAAAAACATCCTGTTCTGTTAACTGGTGCACAGGCCCTCCCCAAACTCAGCCTGGACCACAGTAACCGAGAGCTGCCTGGTCTGATCAGAAACCAGAAGGCATGTAGACAGGTGCAGTCAGACAGCTTACTCAGGCATCCAGTCAGAGTCACGTGATGGGGAGGCATTTTCATGATGAATCCATTGTGTATATTCAGAGATTATATGTCCAAAGAGAGAAACACTGTAATGCTGTTTTGCTTTCTCTCTTCTTCTGCTTCGTCCCCTCCTATTCCTCCACCCCCTCCTCTTTTCCCTATTCTTCTTCCTCTTCTCTTTAGAAAATGCCAGCCCCTGTGTACTTCCTCTCTGAAGTCCTCTACTTTACCTATAGCCTCTACCTTCCTTTTGCATCATGGAAGATCATCTTCTACCACAATCCTGTTGTCTTTGAGCTGTGTCTGATACTTGCTTCTCAAAGACAAGAATTGGGGCTGGGGTTGTGGCTCAGTGGTAGAACATTTGCTTCACATGTATGAGGTGCTGGGTTCAATCCTCAGCACCACATAAAAACAAATAAAAATAAAGATATTGATAAAAAAAGACACGAATTGCATACCATTTAACTTTGAAGAACTTTCTATAGTTACTGGTACACATTGGTGTCATATATCATCTACTTATATTAATCTATGGACTAATAAGCAAATATGGAATTTTTAGCAAGTTTCTTAAAATTTTCTAGTTTCAGTCTTGCAAATGAGAAATACTAACAACCCTCTCTCTTTAATATCCTAGCTATTAATAGCTCTCATATTCCCGTGGGTCTCCCTCCCAGTGTCTGGAGTCCTGATTTTATGTCCCGAGGTTATTCAAGCATTCCTGATTGCTCCTTGTGAATCCTCAGAGGTTCTGAAGTGGTTACTGTACTAATTTGGATTCCCCATGCCCTTGGCAACCCATAGACAAAGGCACGTTTTTCCTGTTTCTCTTCAATTGTAATTGTATCATTGGAGCCAACAGAACACTTAGAAGGTAATAGAGAGAAGGGGAGGGTGGGTGAGTGCTCAGGTGCAACTGTCAAGGTATGTGATTTGAGATAATGAAGTGAAAAAAATAGGCAATTAGAAATGAATCTTTTCCAGTTTCTGCAGTAAACATTGATCAGGTTCTCATCTCCTTTTTATGAGTGGCCTGTCTCAAAGAGTTAGTTAGGATCGAAAAATTTCCAGGCTAGAACAGAAGTGAGCTGCCGGGCAGATTGGGGTGAGGGTGGTAATCTGAGAGCCACAGGTCCTGGAGGGTCTAAGGAAGGACCACTGCCATGATCATGTTCTAGCTGGGCTCCTGGTACTGAAGTGAGAGCCCTGGACAAACGCATGTTACCTCAGGCTACTTTTGAGTCAGGTCATGAGGATCTCCCCTTCATATGAAGCCAGGTACACAGAATCTAATTTACCTGAGAGCTTCCTCAAAAGTGGGGACCTGCTGCCGTATTTCATTATGAGTGAGTGAGGTCTGAAGTATTGAGCTGCCTCATGGAAAGAGTCAGTGTTTCCTGGATAAAAACAACAGCAACAGCAACAACACTAACAATTACACACACACACACACACACACACAAAGAAACCTCACCAACCACCAACTATAAAAGCCTGTGATACTCATTTTTCACAGGTAGCACAGGTATCTAATCTCAAATTTAATATCTAAAAAGAGTCGTTCAGCCAGCTTTATATTCAAGTGTTATAGACTATAACTAAAAAAGAGTGTAGGATGACTAAAATATGTAAATAAGTAGATAAATAATGTCACATCACAGAATGCTATTTTCCTGAAAGGGTCTCTATACCTAAAAGTATTGTCCCAGGGGTACTTTGTCAGAACAGGCATTGTTCCTAGGCATGTGAAGGTAGATACATTTGAGACAGGCACACAAATAGATGTGAAT